CGTCCTCCATAAAAATAACCTTCCTCCTCGAGCTAATTTCTACGTGTATAAATCTCAACAAGATGCCTTGACTTACGACATTACCAAGTCTAGCACATATTGCTTATCGGGTACTTGGAAGTTCAACCTTGCCGCCAATCCCTTTGAAGCCCCTCAAGGATTTGAAGGCCCGGATTTCAGCACAACAGGATGGGACGATATAGCCGTGCCCAGTATGTGGCAGCTTAATGGTTACGGGAAGGGTCCTCACTACACCAATGTCAATTTTCCCATCCCCGTCAATCCGCCAAACGTTCCCTTCGAAGAGAACGAAACTGGATCATATGTCAGGAAGTTCACGATTCCCGAAGCTCTGAGAGACTCACAACTTCGGTTGAGGTTCGAGGGCGTCGATTCTGCCTTTCACGTCTGGGTGAATGGGAAAGAAGTTGGATATCACCAGGGATCGCGGAACCCCAGCGAATACGACATCACAAGCATAGCCGATAAGACAGGTGAAAACAGTCTTGCAGTTCGAGTTTATCGGTATTGTGATGGTACTTATATCGAAGATCAGGTAAGTTTTCATCAATATCAACTTCCCCTGATCCCCGCTTTCATGGGGCATTTTCCCCCTTCCCTGCGAAATCTTCAAAAGGTCGTAGATAAAGCTAATTGATTCATAGGATCAATGGAGGATAAGTGGAATGTATGTATCATTGGCATTCGGATTGTGAGCCGATCTAACCGTCATAATAGTTATCGGGATGTTTACCTACTTGGGTTTCCGGCTGAATCACGCATTGAAGATCTGTTCATTGAGACGAATCTAGACAGTCAGTATGTTAATGCCGACCTCAAAGTTCGAGTGAAAACCAGTAGCTTTGGTAAGGTTCGAGTTGATCTCTTTAGCCCGTCGAAGAGTAAAATTATTGCTACGGAGACAGTGACCGCCTCTCAAGGACATGATGAGTTTTCTCTCTCAATCCGTGACCCATCCAAGTGGACAGCAGAAACACCAACGCTGTATCATCTTGTTGTCTCTTTAGATGATAGCAGCTTCATTGTTCACCGGGTGGGCTTCCGAAAGGTCGAGATGAAAGACGGGTTAATTAAAGTCAATGGTCAACGAATCGTACTTAAGGGTGCAAATCGACATGAGCATCATCCTAAACTTGGGCGAGCCGTTCCATATGAATTCATGAAACAGGATCTCTTACTCATGAAGACACATAATATTAACGCTATCCGCACTTGTCATCAACCAAGCGACGTCCGGCTGTATGATCTCGCTGATGAATTAGGCGTATGTCCCCATGATCTGATTGCGTTTCCACATCTCTAACGAAAATAGTTCTGGGTTATGGACGAAGCTGATCTCGAATGTCACGGGTTTGAATCCATCTGTAAGCTTTATATATAAGGACTCATATCACTATATATTCTAACCTGAATCCAGGCGATGCTGCTCTATCTCCTGCAGACAGAGCTCTTCCTTTCCGTGAGCGGCAGCTTCTGACCCGAAACAATGCAGCCAAATGGACTACGGACAATCCGGCTTGGGAAGAGGCCTACGTAGACCGCGCGAAGCAGCTAGTTCACCGTGACCAACTTCACCCTTCTGTCATTATTTGGTCTCTCGGAAACGAGGCCTTCTTCGGTCGGAACTTCAAGTCAATGTATAGCTGGATCAAGTCGTACGACAACAGCCGGCCCATCCATTACGAGGCTGATATATACGCCGAAACCATGGATATTTACTCGATGATGTACCCGCCAATCGAAACTATCGTCGATTTTGGCAAAGATGGTTCCAAGACTAAGCCCCTAGTACTGTGTGAGTTCATTCACGCTATGGGCAACGGCCCTGGCAACATTAAGGAGTATATCGAAGCATTTTACGCATACCCCAAGCTCCAGGGCGGCTTCGTCTGGGAATGGGCAAATCATGGTCTCCTAACCAAGGATAAAGAAACTGGCGAGGAGTTCTACGCGTATGGTGGAGACTTCGGTGATATCCCGAACGATAGCAACTTCATCATGGACGGGGTGCTTCATTCTGATCATACGCCAAACCCCGGGCTAATTGAATACAGAAAGGCGATAGAACCGATCAAAGTCATTTGCCACACTCCAGATACTGCAACAATTGTAAACCGTTACGACTTCATCACTCTCAACCATCTCGGATGTAGTTACGTGATCTTGGCTGAGGGCAAGTCGGTATCTCACGGTACCATTGAACTTCCCTCCAATATAGCACCTGGACATACGGGTGAATTGAGACTTCCTCCTAAACCCGCCGAATCAACCGGGGAGGTGATACTGCAACTGTCCTTCTACCAACGCGTCGCAACTCCGTCACTACCCGTCGAATTCGAAATCGCTTTCGAAGAAATTCCCCTAAACAACTCTTCCCCTCTCACAACCCAGTCCAAGCCCACAGATAAACTAATCATCACCGAGACCTCTACCCTCCTAACCATCGCCTCCGCAAGCACAACGTGGACATTCTCCCCCATCCACGGCAAGCTGCGCTCCTTCGCCAAAAACTCAACCGAGTTCCTAGCCTCGAGCCCCGATTTCACCGCGTACCGGGCCCCTACGGACAACGACGCCCCTCAAGACGGCCTCGACTGGAAGAGCCGGCTCCTGCACCTCGCCAAGACCTACACGCGCAGCTGCACGTGGGGCGTCGAGGCCGGCGGCGCTTTCGTCGCGCGCGTGCGGCAGCGGTTCGCGCCGCCTGTCCTCTCGTGGGCTGTCGATCTGGATGTCACGTACACGTTCGCCGCCTCAGGCGCGCTCGCGATCCGCGTTAGAGGCGCGCCGAAGGGCGACAACTTGCCTCGCACGCTGCCGCGCATCGGCCTCGGCATGGAGCTACCAGACGGCTGGGCCGGTGGAAGTAGGACTAGCTCACCGGCGGTGAGTTGGTACGGCCGCGGCCCCGGCGAGAGCTACAACGACAAGAAGCTCTCGCAGCGCACGGGGCTGTACGATGTTGCCGCCGTGGCCGAGCTCTGGACCGACTACGAGTTCCCGCAGGAGGGCGGCAACAGGACGGACACGCGGTGGGTCAGGTTCACGCACGCCGGCGGCGAGGCGGTCACGGCGCAGTTCAGGGACGTCGAGACTGGCGGGAGGAAGCTGTTCGACTTCAATGCTTCGCATTACCGCGTCCCGGATGTGGAGGCGGCGAGACACCCGTACGAGCTAAGGAGGAAGAGGACGGAGAACGTGGTGCTTAGGCTGGATGCTGCGCACCATGGTCTTGGAAGCGGCTCGTGTGGGCCCAGGACTAGGGATGAGTATTCGCTGCTGACTGACGACTTTGAGTTCGAGGTTGTTTTGGGGTAGGTGCCTAAGTAGGTAGCTATGGAGACGCGGTTCATTGTTGAAGTTGAAGAGACATGCACAGAATTACTCGTGCATGATGCAATGTAGGCGGGTATGGGCAAAAAGCTATGATTACCTAGGTAGGTTCCTGCTTTCATGAGGGAACAGTTATAAATATACCTCGGAGATAAGCATTCATAATCACGCACCTTTCCTTTTTAAGTCCTTTAAAACCACCTGTGCCGCTACAATTCATCTCTCCCTCTTGGGTCTATACGATGTGGCCAATTATAATGCGATAACTGCACAACGATACTGCAGCTAACTTCACCTACTTCACCGCTATAGGCGACTTATAACTAGAGAGAGAAGTATATAACCCATCCGGCTATGCGCATTTAAAGGAAGACTTTTATAGGGACAAAGCTATAAGAAGAGTTCGTGGCTAAGTCAGGAAAAGACACCATACCTCAGCCAATTACCTAAATATCGAATAATCTTCAAAAGCTCAATGGCCCCATCTCGAGAACAGCTTCTTAAAACCACAAACCTCTTCCTAGAGGCATTCAATGAATTTACGCCTGACTCAGTCGTGCGATTCCGCAGCTCTTCCTGTCGCCAGCGGTTGCTGCCCGCCACATTGAAGTCACCGCCGCAGAACAACGCCGAGTACGCTAAGTTAGTGTCCGCGCTGCAGCCCCTAATCCCGTCGTTCCGGATATCAGTCGTCGAGGGCGAGGAGCCAGCCGTCGACGAAGTCACTAGGAAGGTTACGCTTCATTTGAAGTCACACTCCGATACGACAATTGGACTTTATCAGAACGAATCCATTTGGATCATAACCTTCAACCAGGATGGTACGGAGATAGATGATATTCTCGAGTTTGCAGATAGCTTGTACACGAACGAGTGGTTGCCGAAGTTGGTGAAGGCGGCTGGGGAGGCTGCGAAGAAATAGTGTTACGAACTGGCTCACGTTTAGGGGTTGGAGATGAGTGTTCAGGGGTAATGGACATTTTCTCTCGGGTGGGATGAAATAGGGTCATGGAGTCTGCAGATTATCTGAACTTCCATAGCCTTAGTTCTACCTACCTACACACTTGTAAAGTCTGTCATTAGATGTCAAGTTCTCAAAAGCAACCTGATAACCTTGGAAGTGAACGTCAAGGCCGGGAAAGAGACCTTTGCTAAATTTCCACCGGTCTACCGGCAACTATCCTAACTCACAGTTGGTGTTAGTTAGGTAAGTCTAAGGAGGAAAACATTGCTATGCACCTAGGTTAGGTAATTAAATAACATTTATATTTATAAGCTTAAAGCTTTATCGTATAGCAATATCGGATCATAGGGCATCTGGCATTTTCGAGGGCACTGATCAACTGCAAGAAAATTAAAGAGGCGATTTCAACGAGTTTCAATACCCATCTACCTATATAATCATCAATTCACCTAGTAACAGCACTATCGTAATGATAGTAGTGTTGATAGTAAATCTCAACGTTAAGAAAAACAAGGGCTTCATTTTTACACTACAATATGTAACTATCGTAACTCAGGTGTTTGCCAACTCACATCCGTAGGTAGACACACCTTGTAGCAGCTCATGGTATATCTTCTTTTTTGCTAACTGAGAAAAAAAAAACTTCGGAATGACCTCTTCAGAAGAGATGCATCGGGAATTGAGCCCGATGCGGGGGTCGAACCCGCAACCTTGAGATTAAGAGTCTCACGCTATTGAGCCAGTTAGTATTGTGTTTTGAAGACAGGATTGTGTGGGAGTTAACTAACCTCTACCGATTGAGCTAACCGGGCTGATTCCGGTCTAACCGGAAGGTTGATTATATTGGAGCCAATGATTGATTATATTCAGGTTTACAAGGATCTAAACAACTGATGTTCTCAATAGATATTGTTTCAGACTGTCGACGAGCTCTAGTAAACCCAGGCGACTCGCCCATCAGCTTAGAGGTAGAGATTGAATATATTAAGTAAAGAAGAATCTAACCCTGGCAGTTAGGTGGAAGGTTCTTGCTATAGTACGGTTGGCTCATAGAAGTACTTAAGGAAAGTATTAGCCGTTAGTTATACTGAAATAGTATATTGCATCTCTGTCTCTCATGTTATTTTAGGGGGAGGGGGTAAACCTTGGGATTGAATGAGGTGTCTTAGGGGTGGTGAGGTAGTGGTACTTTTCATATGAAATGTGTGGTGATACCAGGCAAATGTCCGTGTCGAATCTTATTCTGAACACATTTCTTTCCTCGTTACACTGCACACTTAGAACTGCTTTGCTCCTTATGAATATCTTGATTTTATTTGAGATATGACATCGCTAAAGCCGTGAGCATAGGGAAGGTTATGCCCCTATTCTCAAGTAGACTAACTAGGTAAATCTCCGATAGGAGGGTGATCTCTGATAATGCAAGGCCGAGTTAACATACATGTAAAATATTGTATGTATATATCATGTATATGAGAACTAAATATGTTAAATTGAATCTCGATGATTGTGGACTTGATATCCAACGGGATGTCCGTATACCCATGGTGGCAAAACAGGGGTGCGGAGGTCGGTTGTCTTTCGATGAATGGAGTTAAGGAGAGTTATACGATTGGATTTTCCTCTCTCCTACTCTCCCCGGATATGTAAAGAATGGAAGTTAATTACTTCTGAATATTGCCACCTATGAGTCCACATTTCCGTATCGTGACAATTTGATAAAGGTTATTATCATCAATCATAAGAAAGCAAAGATGACGGGACATAGTATCGACGATGTTGATGTTCTTAAATGCTAGATAGCCCTAGATATCTTAGATGGAGATTATATAACACCGACGAAAAGGTTCACCAATTAGGGTTGAGACAACATTTTTGGCTTGAGTTCTGATTGGCTCTAGCTTTATACACACTAACAATTATACGAGGTTATTGAGTACAATCCTACAGACCTGTAGGTATCTGGAAACAATATTAAATCTGCTAATAATCGGCTCGGTATGTACATTTGTTCGCAATACTTTTGACGGCATGAGCTTCGCATTACGAAGCCATTGGTTACATGGCAATCCATAGGATACCTATTGTTCAATGTGGTAAGATTATTAGAATGAGCCCATGCAGACCCACGAGATAGGGACGTCACTCGAAACTGAACAGAATGAATATGGTCGGTGAGGTAAGATTATTAGATTGCGAAAGTCTATCGGTGGTAGAAAACATCGATTCCTCCCCAAGTTCGCGATGCGCAAATGCGGCGTTTTAACATCGTTAGATCGTGCCGCTAGGGTACCCTTACTGGAATCTATCGTGGGTGCAGGTGTCAAGATATGATTCAAAGGTGCCAATACATAAATACCGGATTGTCCGGAGTGCCGGGCATGTTCGAGAATAATAAATGGTAATAAATAACTGACGATGATACAGTGCTTGGTCAACTGACAGCTGGCACCGTCATCGTGACAAGGTAAAATCGGAAAAGTAGAAATAAAAAAGCCATGAATAGTACGTACGATGGTTAAGAATTAAAAAAGGGTCGGAAGTGAGCCGGGATTTATTAATCCGACCCAAGCTTCCCATTGATCACGATGAACCTGCAAATCTAAGATCAAGAGATTCCCACCCCCCGAGGGTGAACCAAGTAGCATACCTAGGCTTACCCTCTTTGGGATACGTATCGTATGACCCGCTGAGGTAATGCTAGCAGGGGAGAATATTCAGGGACCATCGAAAAAGGCAAGGTTTGCTACCTTACCGCAAACGATGTATTCAATTCACGCCCTCGCCATAGTAGCTGAGGTTGTGCGGATCTGTGATTGGTTAAATTAGGCTTTAAATCCACACCTCGAGTGTAACGCGCAGGGAAGGTCTGGCCCCCGTACCAAAATAAGCATAGGACCCCTAGATCGGCAAAGGTACATTTGTACGATGTTAATGGTTGCGCCCGATTCCTAGAAGGTTGCACCCAAGCCATCGATCGGAGACGCAACTCCTAAATCTGAGAGAGAAGCAGGAGAGGCAATACAGGGCGGTCGAAGGCCCAACCCGGCCCTGTCTACCTTCCGTAAATCTCGATGCAAAATACGATTTTTCTCATGCGTCCCTTCTTAAACATTATGAGATCCACCATATATTGGAGAGAGAACCATCTACCGTATTTAAACGCGCGTTTAATTTTTCTTAAATTACTATTCCTTAAACGTCAATCAAGATTTCTTTTCCCCTGCTGTCGCTTTCAAAGCATTCACACGATTCCACGATTCTACGATCCACGATCCAACCCCAACTAAACGATTAAACGAGTCAACCGATTTTCTTGACGGAGCACGACTGCATCACCCGCATCGAATCTTCGATTATACATAATAATACTACCTACCTACTTCACTACACCCTGGAAATTATCTCTTTCGCACTTATACGCCCATCCCATTCTACCTATACACTTACTCCATTCGCCTGGCGGCCAATCCCTATCTAAGACCAACGCGAGCTAGCCCCGAGTCTCTTAACTGAGCTAGACTACCCTAGCTGTCTAGATATATGCTAGACTAAGAGAGAAGACAGGAACTTTACCGTAGGTATGACGTTGCATCGTCAACTTTTCACGAATCCAACCCCCGTTTCGCTTACAGGAAGCCTGCACCTGAACAACATTTTGCAGACAGGTTGCTTCTACCGTCTTCTTCTACTCCCCTAATAGTTCCCGTCTACCCATTCGCTACAACCAAACATGCAACTTGCGCCTCTCCCAGCAAGCCACGATGCGCCGTCCACCATCCTCTTCCTAACTTATTAAAAACACTGCTCCATTTTACAAAATTCCAATTCAATTAACTCTTTTTATTCCCGCTTGCCGCACTAGCCACTAACTTGTTATGAAACCAGAATATCCTTATTAGCGACTATGTTGTCGCTGAATTTCTTCTACTTATTTACATGATTGATTAAATTTTTTACTCTCCGAATTATTACCAGTATACGAAGGTATTAGTCGATGCGAACACTATGTCTGATTCTAGGAATGTGCCGGCGGCTTCTAGGCCTCCACCCATCACATACAAGAATCCGAGACGAACCTCGGCTGAAACTTCAATCACCCTGCAAGCACACCGCCTAGCTAGAGCTAGAAATGCTTCTCCAGCCGTTGCTCACACTACGACTAGAAGAAATTCGTCGGGCGACAGCAACGAAACAGGCCAGAGCGCCAAGAACTGGTTTGAGGCTTCAAATAAAAATGCTATGGCCAACATGGACACCAGAGCGATGGACCTCGATCCTCCCTTCTATCAGAAAGAAACCGACGACTCTAATGAAGAAGCCGCGAAATATGGAGTATCGTCACACAGTCCAGCGTACGAGTTTATCCAGAGCCGTCTCCCAGATTTTCGGCCTGGCGTAGACTCTTCCAATGAAGAATTCCGTTCGGTCATAGATGACCTGACTGTCGAAAACAAACGCCTGAAGGAGGAATTGAGAAAACACAAGCAGATGGGGCCAGATTCTCTACGGAGAGACAAGCTGTTCGAGGTTAAAGTCCACGGACTATCAAGCAGAAAGAAGCGAGAGTTAGAGGCCGCCTTACGGGATTTCACAACTAGTCTCAAAGACTCAAGCACCGGGACCTCACCGAGCCGAAAGAAGACCTCCAGCAAGTCGAAGAACATTCATCCATCGCTATCTAAGCATGCATCTTCATCATCGGGTTCTAACTCCAAACCCGTCGATTCGGCCTACGCGTCCATGTCAACTGGTCCAAGCTCATCTGTCCCATCACTACCGGGCCAGGCCAAGGCTGCGCGACAACGGAACGAGCAAAAGATTGAGAACTACTTGCGAGACATCCCCGAAGGTCTATGGCCAAGGCCTACCATCATGACCGAGAAAGAGAAAAAGAAGCTCGTAGTCAAACGACTCGAACATCTCTTCACAGGCAAAATGGGCGACCCAGCTGAACACGTTCCATTCTCTCGGGTACCTGAGCTTATTGCCGAGGACGTGCAGATGGAAGGGACCGACGATAAGGTCGTACCTCTACCTCCAACAGCAGCAGCAGCAGCAACAACTGATGTTACACGGGAGGCACAGATCCGACCGCGCCAACTGAGGCGCAAGGAAAGTAGTTCGCGCGACAATGGATCTGCATCAAACTCACATTCACACTCTAACTCGCATTCGAACGGCGATCAGACCGAACCTAGGGACAACGGTAACGGCAGCGGGAGTGGTAGCGGGCACGCCAGTGGTGCAGGACGTGGTAACAACATGTCACCTCACATGGCTATGCTACCCTCGGAGCAGCGCCCAACGCGACCACGCGATTTGGACCCTGATCGCAGACAGGTACCCTCAGAGAACATGGATTACATACGTCACCTCGGTCTGGTAGCCCCCGAATCGCAGAAGCAATATTCTGCAAGGGATGTATCGCCAGATGCGGAAGGTTGGGTATATCTCAACCTGTTGTGCAATCTAGCGCAGCTGCACATCCTCAACGTTACGCCCGCCTTTATTCGCAATGCGGTTTCGGAGAAGAGTACCAAATTTCAACTTTCACCCGACGGTCGCAAGATCCGTTGGAGAGGTGGAGCTGAAGGTACGAAATTCAACAGTGATAGTGGGAACAATTCGCAATGTAACCAATCAAGTGATGACACGGACGGATCGAACGATCAGGAGCAGCGAAAGAAACAAAAGATTCAAGCATCTGGAAATGACGTCATCGCGCACAATCCTTCAAAATTCGGGTTAGGCGTGCAAGATTCCAATTCATCCGAGAGTTTTCACTACAAACCATTATTTGTCCACCACC